CAAAATGAGCACACATGGTGTACTCGTGCATGCAGTGCATGTAATTTTTTGTAAGATACTGAAAGTTCCCGGCTATAAGTCAAATCCCGCTTGTAAGTCGACCCCCACCCTTTCTCCTTCTATATTGTCGTAAAAGGTCGACTTACAACCAGAAAAATACGGTATGCGTCATAACTTGCCTGTGGAGCTGGTGCTAGTCTACCCGGCAAATATGCGTTATAACTTGCCTGTGAATCTTGTGCTTGTCTACATGGCCAGTTTGCGTTATAACTTACCTGTGTATCTGATGCTAGTCTACATGGCAAGTATGCGTTATAACTTGCCTAATATTGCATGCTGTATTCCTCTTCTAGAGAGAATTGCAGGACTGAAATGTTCATTCATTAGAAAATTATCAAAATGAGTGGGCCTTATGTCCTGCTCTATTCCATAGAAGATAATCTCGGGATGACGTCGCGACATCCTTATTCCGAATGCGTCTTATGACATTAGACGCATTCGGACATAAGACGCTTCCGGATTGAGGATATCGCGATGTCACCCCGAGATTGTGATGCGGTCATATTATTTCCTAGTGTAGACTAGTGCATGCTTGTTTTACTGGGGGGGGGGGGGCTCTGAGCTAAATGCCAGTTTGACTTGGCCAGCTAATACGTGTTTATCACCTAGAATTACTCAATTGTTTAAAGGGCATTTTAGGCTTGTCATTGAGCGAGAAAATGATTCTATGGAATTCAAATAATGTTCTTGCTAGAGGTGTACTGGTAATTCATTATGTTTTTATTCCATATACGTATATCCGGACTGAATATATTTCGGTGTGCATTTTCCTCTGTGTGCTGTTGGTGGGTTGGTATGGCGTGGTGTGAATGGTGTTGTCGTGTTGGTATGTTGTGTTTGGTGTTGCTGTGTCGCCGCAACCCTGTGTGTTCATTATAGCCTCATCTTTCCAATGTTCCACCAGCTGTTGTACGTCGACTGGACTCTATCTCCGAACAGCTAACCCAGCAAGCTACGTCCATCACTGCATTGTCGGCAAGGAGTGATACGTTAGAGGAACAGCTTACAGCAGCCATTACCAACAACCAAACCACCACACAACAACAACTGACATCAACGCAACAACAACTGTCTGCAACACAACAACAACTGACTGCTACTCAACAACAACTTACAGCAGCCATCACCAACAACCAAACCACCACACAACAACAACTTACGGTCATCACCAACCACCAGACAGCGACACAACAACAACTGACTGATACACAACAACAACTGACTGATACACGTGAGCAAGTGTCCACGATTCAAGACGAACAGAGTTCAGCAACGCAACGACTTACTGAACATCTGGATGCCATTGCTGGAAACCAGACCATGACGCAACAACAACTGACTGCTACTCAATCCACTATACACAACGATCAAACCACCACAAACCGCCGAGTACAAACTCTCGCCGACCAGCTACGTGATACGAACGAACAGACTTCCCGACAGATGACAACGTTGACGGACCAAATTTCGGCGGTTTCTGGCCAGCTATCAACGATGTCTGCATCCACCCATCAGGTATGAATCTTCAATCCCAGAAATAAAACGCTAGTTAATATATGAAAAGGCAATTAGGTGCCAGCAGTTTAGGGATTGCAATAAACAGGACCAGCTGAATATCTTTATCAGATTGGCTGTTCATCCTGAATGAAAATTTTGAACCAGACACTCCGTTTACAGTGATAAAAACTGGTTGCAGCATGTGACCCATGTTACTGGTCACGGCTGCTCCAGCACAGGCATTTATAAATATGGCGTCGTTCGGTGCGATTTATGTAACATTGTACGAATGGTGCAAATACGGGATGAGTTTGCGTTTTTGGAAGAAACTCATGTCGCTCCTCGCGTGGTTTCACGATTTGGGAAGCGAATCCAAGAGAAAAGTTTTGAAAGCGCTCGAGCGAGATACTCGACTTTTAGGTAATTTGAGAGAGAAGAAGGGTGGAAAGGCGTCCTGGCCTGCCCAGTTAGCTGTCTTTCTGCTTCAAACTTACTCAAAACTACTCCTGGTAGTCCAGAGATTGACTGCCCCTGTGATTATCGGCCTCTGCTTGGCGTGCGCGCGTGTACAATATTCAAATTGGACATTTCGTACTCGTTCAACGCACAATAGGAGAGATATCACAATTTCCAGCTCACTTTGCCGGCTGCTGTCTTCTTCTACAATATCCCACATGCCAACTAAGCAATTTACAGCAGGAAGCAGCCCTCTAAACTCAACAGCAACTAAAGGGCCACGCCATTCGTCTTCCGAATCAAGAGAAAACAGGTTTCTGACCCGCCTCGCGAACTCAGAAGTTCATGCGCGATCAACAACGACACTCAGGGAAGACAACCAGAGGATAGTCCTCTACCTAGGAAAATTGCCATCTAGCCTGGGAAAAATCCAGGAAATGCTTCTCGGGGCCGAGTTTGACAGCGATGACACAAGGAGTACTTCAGAGTGAAGCAAAAGTTGCACGACGCAGAACAAATGTTTCTTGAAGGAAAGGCAGGCATGTGAGGTACGAGCGGAAAGCTTGAAACAAGACGCACGTGATCAGTGTGTTCCCAAGGCTGTCCGGGCTAACCAGTCACCAAAATTCACGGGAAACCATGGCCTCCTTGTGTTCTGGCGATTTGAAAATTCAAATTTTCTTGCCATTGAAGCCCGATCGAGAGTTTCGGCGGCCATATTGTGAAGTGGCGTGAAATCGCACAAAAAACAGCCGTGTGGTGCTTCCGATTCTTCAGCCTCAGATGGACCCAGACGGTTTTGCGATAAATCCTATCGTAAGATGGTAATTCTTAAACAATGCAGTCACTGTAGACCATAGATTGGTGAAGGCTCCTAGTGGCTGAAGTAGTTTCTACAGCGGACAGCAACCCAAACATGAGGACATGCTGGACTTGTTGTGGAAGATAAGGAAATCAGACAACTGTAATCTGTGCCAGCAATCAGGTTTATAATTATGGCAGGCTGGACTATAGTGTATTGAACTTTTCTGTAACTGGTCTTGACGGAAATTGATGTGTGACTGACTACAGGGGTTGACGTTATTGTGTGTGCATGCACTCACATCATGTGCGTGTGTGTATGTGTGTGTGTGTATGTGTGTGTGTGTTTATGTGTGTGTGTGTGTGTGTTTGTGTGTGCCAGCTGCAGATTAGGCCTACCACTGCACCCGAAAGCCTGTCATGTTCTGCTTCTGCCACTGCCTCAGCTACAACAGCTGTGGTAAGTTGAGCAACAGTTTTCTCTGTAATGCCAGTTACACACTAGGCCAGTTTGTCGGCCAATGCTTCGACACCGACTACAACATGAAATAGGCGGACTGTGTCGGAAGAGTCGGACTACCTATTCATATACAAGAGTGAGCTATTTCACTTGTAAACCAGTCTGTGCACACACATACAAATTGAACACAGCCACAGTAGAGAGTGGTAGATGCCAGAGCGGAGATGTGATCGCTTCTATACACACAAGCTACAGGGTCAAAAGTATGAAAGGGCTTGTTCACTGTCTGCACCGACACTCTCTGCTGTCATGGCGACATTCCTTGTTGGAGGCCCGCTCCAACACGTGAAAGCAGTAAATATCAGCAAACCTTTGGGTGAAATATCGACCCTTCGATACTTGGCCGAAAAATCATATGATAAGAAAATCGTAGAAGATTTATCAGAATCTTGTGCGACAACGGATTTCACACCAGGCGATTTTCTCCCTGATTTTGAAGCATTTTCTCGTATGATCCCATTACAGCCGGGAAATTGTCCTATCCTTCCCGGTTTGTGCAGTAGGACGGTTGCATTCCCGTTTCTGGCAATCATATTGGTCGCCGGCAATCAGCGTCATGAGTGTCCTGTCGCTTCTAACGGCGTGTTACGTCGCGCCCTTTCGAATGTGAACTAGTCTTTATCACCTGCCATGTCACCCCTCAACCTGATTGCAGGTAGTAAAATTCATAATGCCCTCCCTGACATGCACCACCCTATAATTGTACCTCTAAACCCTTCACATAACCGGGTATCCTCTAGAATCCAGTCCGAAATGTGGTCACTATCGGGTATCAAACTTTTAAGTGAACATATTATATCCGAAGAGTGTGTTGCTCCCTACATGGGAGCTCGCGGTTTTCCTGCCGACTTGAACTCTCACTTGACTGACTCACGACTGCCATCCAGAGCACACGAGAAGTCCATCAAAGCCGTCCACTCGGCAAACCTGCAGGACAGCACCACTCCCTGCTCAATACACTGTGTTTCGGGGAATTCACCCCTCATCAGTTGAGCTTGAGTAGGCTGAGGAAGATTGTGCCTGAAGAGCACCACTTATATAGTGCTCCCCAGGCATAAACATCACCAGGGATACAAACTTACGGAGACACTCCGTTTTCATCGCGACAAACACCTCGTGAACACCAGATAGCAGCGTGAGTCAGTGTCGCTTATGGAGGTGCTGAACAAGCGCTGAGGACCGTTGGCCATTCACAACGTTGTTGCCTCCAAACCATCTAATTCGCAAGCCCGTGCTGGGGACAACAATGTGAAGAAGAGGTTGGTGTGACTTCGGCGATAGTAAGGGGAGAGTGTGTTGCTCCCTACATGGGAGGTCGTGGTTTACCTGCCCACTTGAATTCTCACTTGACAGACTCACGACTGCCATCCAGAGCACACGAGAAGCCCATCAAACCGTCCACTCTGCAACCCTGCAAGAAAGCACCACCGCGAGCTCCCATGTAAGGAGCAACACACTCTTCCCCTACTAACGCCGAAGTCGCACAAACCTCTTCTTCACATAATTATATCCAGCATGTTTTGTATTATTTACTTGTATAATCATGCGAATGAACTTTTTGTTTGTGCGTATACGTGTGTGTGTGTATGTGTGTGCTTGTGCATGTGTGTGTGTTTCTGTGTGTGTGTGTGTGTCTGTGTGTCTGTGCCGGTGTGACAAACTGCAGGTACCTGTCTCTAGTCCCATTGCTGCACAAGACAGCCACTCAAGTTCAGCTTCTGCCACTGCCCTTGCCCTTGCCCCTGCTTCTCCTACAGCAACGAGAGTAAGTTGAACGACATAACCTAGATTGCAAAGCTGCGTTCCCAACTGGCGCGTGGGAGTGGTACGCTTGCAGTTCATGCGTGCCCAAAGGCGCGCTCAGGCTTTCACAAAAAAACAGCAATATGGATGGATCTAAGCCCATTTCAAGCAGTCTTACTCACAGCAAGGTGATATAGCCGGTAAAATTAACTGGGTTGGCTGATGAAGATGGGGTGACAACTGGTGGCGAAGAAAAAGTCACACCTGCATAAGACATGAGTGGGTTGGTATTAGAGCTGAGTCGGGTAGCATTTTCTTCCGGTATCGGGATCGGGTAGTTTTCAACGGCTAGCACGGGTACCCGATCGGGAAATGTTTCCATGGTTACGCCACAATGCACCCCTTCCCTTACACACAGGGTAGACATGCGGAGTATTTCATGAATTTGTACTTCAGTACACTTACGCTGTACATGATGTCATCTGCGACTTCGGGTTTCAGGTACTATTCCATGCCCGTCTACCCGAGGTCCTCACGAGTAGCTCGGGTACCCGACTATCCGTGCACAGCACTAGTTGCTATGCACCCACACACTGTAGGCAATAGCAAAGTCACACTTAGTGGATTCAAATCTAGAAATATAACGTGAACTTACTACTCCCTGGCCGTTTTGACGCTATCACTTTCAAGCCCTATTGTGCCGGGCTTGCCCAAAGTGTACTGAGCTTTTCTGTAATTTGGCTTGAAGGAGATTGATGTATGACCAACTGCTGGGGTTGATGTTTTTTAGTGATCGAGTGTACGAATGTTTGAGTGCCTGTCTGCATGTGCACACACTCGCATGATGATTGATGTGTGTTGGTGTGTGTGTGCATGTGTGTGTGTGTGCGTGTGTGTACAACTGTGCTTGAAGGGGACGGTTGCACTTTTTGTAGTTCTGTTTTATCTGAGTTTTCAGTCGTTCCTCTTACTAGTCTTAGGCCACGGGGTGGCTCTGGGTTCACCAGAGGCGCCCCTGGCGTGTTTCTGAATTTGCTGGGGCCAGGGTTCCGCAACGTGGTCGCCAGGGCAGTGTATTTTCTGTCACGACCGTTGTCGTCCTCGTCTCTCCATTCGCGGTGGTGCAGCTGACCCCCGAATGGTTTCAAACTGCGAAGCTCGGAGTACAGTGTTGGCAGAGGCATTAGCTGTGAATGGAGACGGTTGCTGGAGATGAATGGTGATGCAGGGAGAAGCGTTACGCTGGCTGACGACGCATGGGAAATTGTGTGTACTTCTAGACGATGTGTCCTCATGGCTGTTTTCAATGCTTGGCCTATAGCTGATATCCCTGCGTGGGATGTTCTTCCAGTGGAGTCCAGGTGGGAATTCGGGTGCCCACACTCCATCACCTGGTTGATTGTTTCGGAACTGCAATAACACAGGTTCAAATAATTATTGTTTCCTTTTTGTACGTATTTCTTGTCATCTCTCTTTTTCTATACGTTGCACACCAGATGTACTACTGTTGCTGTCTTTCTCCTGCCATCTCTCTCTCTGCTTGCTGTTTTTAGTTTTTGTTGCCACTGTCCCTCATCATACCCTTGCTTGGGTGGAGGGCAGCGTGACCCGTTAGGTTAGCTGTCAATACAGTACAGTACAGTGTGTGTGTATGTGTGTTTGTGTGTGTGTGTGTGTGTGTGCGTGTGTGTGTGTGTGTGTGTGTGTGTGTGTGTGTGTATGTGTATGTGTGTGTGTGTGTGTGTGTTTCCATCAGCTGCAGGTAAGGCCTACCACTGCGCCAGAAAGCCTGTCAAGTTCTGCTTCCCCCATGTCCTCTGCTACAACAGCTACTGTAAGTTGCGTAACGTTCTTTGTCTGTAATGCCGGTTTCACACTAGGCCAGTTTATCGTCCAATGCTTCCACACCGCCTCCGACATGAAATCTGCTGACTGTGTCGGATGAGTCCAACTACCTGTTCACACACTCAACAGTGAGGTATTTCACTTGTAGACCTGACTGTGTACACACATACAAGTTGTACACAGCCACACTAGAGAGTGGTAGACGTCAGAGCGGAGATGTGATAGTTTCTATATACACAAGCTACAGGGTCAAAAGCATGAAAGGGGTAGTTCACAATCTGCACCGACTCTCTCTGCTGTCATGGTGAAATTCCTTGTTGGAAGTCTGGTGGCCTTGGACGGGAAACCACTCAATGTGAGAGGTACGGCTATTGTACAGCTGCAGAGGCTGGATGGATCAGTGCATCTGCCTTACTGCAGAGTAACTGCCATGTTTGTGGAAAATCTTGGCACTGTGGCGTCGTGGCTCTTGATAGGAGCTGATGTCATTGCTATTGCTAGCAGAGTGCGCCTGGAATACGATGACGACCACTAGCTGTCCGGCGTGACATTCGGGAGAGCCGAAGTGGTCGCTGCAGCAGCGTCGAACAGTCATCCACTGCCGCACGTGCGAGTCGAGCAGCGAGGCAGCGCCACAGTTCTCTCTACGGACGATGGGGAAGTCACATGGGACTGTACAGCCCATCGTCAGGTGCTGTCATGGAAGTGGAAAGATGGCAGTCCTCCGGCCGATCCTGTTTAGCCCCGGCGTTGGCGAGTACTCACGCTCGAAACTCGCCCCTGAGCAGGAACGCATGTTCGTTGGCGAAGTGATGAAGTGGATCGACGCAAGCTGGCTTGTGCCTCACAATGATGCTCTCCACGGCTCACCAGCTGCTGTGCTGCCGCTCCTAGCACAGATGCAAGAACACAAGCCGAGTACCCCAGTTCGTCCATGTCTGGACCACCGCAGCCTGAATGCTCTGCTGGTGTTGCAACCTGGTCGAGCCACACTTGTCTGCGCGGAGACATTGCGGAATTGGAGACGCGAAGGTGACCCGAAGGGCCTGCGATTCCTCGATATCAAGAAGGCCTATCTCCAAGTGCACCTGGCGTCCGAGCTGCAGCGCTACCAGACGGTCGTCTGGCAGAAAATGGCCTACGTGATGACGTGCATGGGTTTCAGGTTGGGTATCACACCGAAATTTATGGATATCATCGTCCGCTTGGGGACGCGAGACTTTCCACCGGTCGATAATTACGTTGACGATGTGAAAACGCCTGCCAACGAGGTCGACGCCGTAGCTGCAAGGATGCTCAAGTATTGCCTCCCAACACAGCAGGCCGAGCCGTTGCCTCATCCAGAGTCCTCGGCCTGCAGCTGCAGAAGGATGAGGACCATCAGGTCCAGAGGTCGCGCTGTGGCGACATCAACCTGAAGTTACCTCGACCGGCAATGAAACGTGACGTCTTCAGCTGGTGTGGCCGGCTGACCGGCCACGTCCCGGTGTGTGGCTGGCTGCGACCCGCCTGCAGCTTTATCAAGCGCACGGTCAATGCTGAAGCCACTTTGGATCAACAAGTGTCCGAACCTCTCCTTAAGATCTGCGACAAAGTGGAGGATCGGCTCGCCCGCGAAGGTGATCCGGTTCGTGGTCAGTGGAGCGCGTCCGACATCGACATCGGAGTTGCCATCGAGGTGAACGGTTCAATTCTGGAGGATCGCTCTTGGCTGAGGCCGTACGACGACAAGCGCCATATCAACATTTCAGAGTTGGAGGCGATGATTCGAGGTCTCTCGCTTGCCGCCAACTGGCAGATCAAGCGCGTCCGACTGATGACGGACTCTAAAACCATCGCCAGTTGGCTTGGCGATGTCATCGGCAATGTGCGTCGGACAAGAACAAAGGGCCTGCACGAAGTGCTCGTCCAGTGACGTCTACCGAACATGAGCGACATGATCGTCACGGCAGGGATCGACGTCTCTATCGAGTGGGTTCCAACAGCCCGGAACCGTGTCGACGCTCTCACTCGCGTCCCCGCCGCATGGATTAAGCACTGTCATGTCCTAAAATGAGATGGTGACACTGATGTCACAGCAGCCGCAGCTCACCATTCCTGGCCCAGTCGCGACGGAACGCATCGTCAAGGAGCAACGCGTTGATGGGGATACTCAGACCGTGATATTGCAAGCACAGCAGGGTCTCCCCGTCTCAGGGCGTTACTCCGCAGTGCGTTCGCAGTTAGCAGTCAGCGATGGTGTACTGTGCCGGAGCCTTAAGCTTCCGCTGGAGGGCGTTTTCCAAGTGCCGATTGTGCCTGGGCCGCTGGTTTGCGGATGTCGTCCGGTGTGTGCACGAAGTCTCTGGGCACAGAGGCTGGGAGGCTATATACTGTTTGCTCCGTAGTCGCTGCTTCTTTCCCGGTATCGCAACAGCCTGTTCCGAATTGGTCAAAGAGTGCCACACTTGTCAGGCTGCCAACCCACAGAAGGGCGAAACTGTCCCACCGACTTGCGCAGACCTCCCTGGTTGTCCCTGGAGCGAAATTGTGATCGACACCCTGGAGCTCGGCACCGAACGCAGCGGCCAGTATCACTGCGTGCTCGTGTGTGTCGACTCGTTCACCAAGTGGGTGGAGGTGTGTCCACTTCGTCACTATGATGCTGTCAGCGTGGTATCCGCCTTTTCTATCCTGTGCCTGCGGTGGGGTGCTCCTGATGTGGTCCGGGTGGACAACGGCACGGAATTTCGGAACGCTGTAGTGGAGTCCCTGTTCCGCCTGCTAGGAGTCCGTGTTCGTACCGGCGCCGTCCGTCACCCTCAGTTCCAGGGGGGTGCGGAGAGATTTAACAGGACCCTGCTCGGGCTGATTCGCAAGGTTCTGGACGACTCCTCGGATTGGCGAGCCGATCTTGACGTCCTCCTTTTCTATTATCGGAACAGGCCCCATAGTACCACCCAGTTGTCGCCAATGCAAGCCATGGTTGGCTGGCAGCCTCAGCACCTCATTGTCGGCATGGCCGAGGAAGCTTGCACACTGAGCCAGTGGACGACTCAGTTACACGCTCGAGTCGCACGTGTACGTGACATCATTGACCGTTAACATCATTGACCTGCTGAAGCGCAATGTGCCTGGTTTTGCGCTGGCTGCTGAGCCGCCGGTTCCGCAGCACAACGTTCCGGATAACTAAGAGCAGAACGCACCCGGTCTCGATATGGTCTGGGAGCCTGTTGGCAAGAATGCCCACCTACATGCTGGCTATGAACTCCGCGACCGCACTACAATTCGGCGACCCGTCTGTTACACTGAGTGATTATTGCTACCATTGCATTGCTACCTGCAAGTCAACAGGCGACGCGCTGAAATATAATGCATGCCTTCTGACTGTCCCTCTCCCTATCTCCCTAGCGTGTTGTCTGCATGCAGCAGTATTCCTTTTCTTCACATGTAGGTGTTAGCATCCGGCGTGCACGCGCGCCGTGACATGTTTTGTATCACTTGTATGAACCCGCCAAATACATGGCTAGTGGTGTGAGTGCGCCTCGGTTGTCCCGAGTGTACACGTGTTTTTGGCGAGTTGGCTTTGCTAGTTCCAGCGGCCGTAGCTCTGGCCTGTTGGTTTTTTCGTGTGGAGATTGCCGTGACAGGATGGTCACTTGGTTCTTCCACCAATTTTACTAATTAATGTATTCTAACTTCTTCTACACCTAAGTTAAGTGCATGTTCCAGTTGACTGGTCTGTGCGTGACGGCGTCGGGAACCGGAGTAGGGGAATTATTTTACAGGACACTCCGTTTATAGTGATAAAAAACTGGTTGCAGCATATTTCCCATGTTTCCGATGCTTTCGATTCTTCAACCTCATATGGACCAATGAAATTTTACAATAAATATTAAGGTAGTAGTTCCTTCAGGCAGTCAATGTGAATTGATGGGGGCTCCTAATGGATGATGAAAAGTTTGTCGAGCTGGACAGCAAGCCAAATATGAGACCATACCGGACCTGTTTTGAAGGATAAGGAAATTAGGCAACTCCAGTCCGTACCAGCAATCAGATTTATAATTGTGGCGGGCTTGCCCATAGTGTTTTGAACTTTTCTGTAACTTGGCTTGACGAAAATTGATGTGTGACAGACTACAGGGGTTGATGTTTTGGTGTTCGCTTGTAAAGTATGTGTGCGTGTGTGTGTGCGTACCTGTTTGTGTATGCACGCACTCGCATAATGCATGTCTCGGTGTGTGTGTGTGTGTGTGTGTGTGTGTGTGTGTGTGTGTGTGTGTGTGTGCTTATGTCGGCTGCAGGTGAGGCCTACCACTGCACCCGAAAGCCTGTCAAGTTCTGCTTCTGCCACTACAACAGTTAGGGTAAGTTAAGCAACATTATTGTCTCTTTCACACTAGGCAGAATTACGGGCCAATGCTTCGACACTGAATCAGATACGAAATCGGCCGACTGTGGCGGACAAGCTGTTCACACACACCTTTAACCTTGGACGTGCCCATTGCCGATGGCAATGATTGCGAACGGACTATCTGCTAGCTTTGCAGTACGGAGCGTGGCACTTGAGATCCCCGGGACGACGGCAGACCTTTCCACATGCGCAGCGGAAGCTACAGTCAGGATCAGGGGGAGCACGTGCAGGAGGACGACGATGAGCAATCTGTCTCCAGGCAGAGCTATCTTGGGCAGCAGCAAACCAACAGTCAGAAGGCATAGGGGGCTGATGGAGCGGAGGTCATCCATGATGATGTCTCGTCACCGCTTGCGTTGACCATGGCGAGGGCGCGTTGCAGGGAGCTCCCCAAACAAAACTCGCTGCACACACACACACACACACACACACACACACACACCAGAGTGAGCTATTTCACTTGTAGACCTGACTATGCACACACATACAAATTGTACACAGCCACACTAGAGTGTGGTAGACGCTTCGTTACCGACTCCGACACGAAATCGGCCGACAGTGCCGAACTACTACCTCCAACAAGGGAAACTTGGCACGTTTTTTTGGCCTCAAACTACTCGAAATAACTCCCACTTTACAATCGAAAATAATGATTGACTCAGCAAAATACAACTTTGTATCGCTCAGGAAGGATATTAGAGACATCAGTTAGTCTGAATCACTCTGCTCTGATTCAAAGATCGCAGCGTCTTGTGGACAAGGATTGTCATTGTAGTCAGACGAATGTGTGACTCGAGCGGATTGAGTTGCAGCAAGTACCTTGCCCTGGAAATCTCGATATCGCTCCTGTGTGCTGTGCTCAAGGGTAGTCATTTCTGCCGCCACTCTCTAGGATACCGTGGTAAGAACTGTGAAATACCTCCACACGCGCCTAGACTTGACCATTTTTAGCCCGGTATTCTCACCAACAATCACATAGTACAAAAATTATAATTAAATACCCAAAATTGCCTGCAGCAATTCCTGGCGA